ATACCCGTACAGTACAGCACCCAACCCAACCTCACCACTTGATATGCTTGTGTTGAATTGGATGCATACAGACGTACAGACCACTGAATACCTATTCATTACAATTACATTATTCCCGATTTGTTCTCACAATAAACACACAATAAAGCTAACCTCTACAGCACTGGTAGTCTACAGCACTGGTAGTCTGAATGGGTGAATGAGGTAAACATCAAATGCATTACCGAATCATTGAATCTTTTTAATCACATTCTCTCCCTATTCTACCCGTCATTCACTGAAAATGATATGATTTATGGCTAACAATAGCCCTATTCATGTAATTCTTGTTCATACCATTGATTGTCCCCTTAATTGGCTTTTATTTCAAATCCCAATTCATTACAAACATTATTACAGGCATTGGTTTACACAACAAAACATCAATAATTTGTTTTGCCATTCAATAGCAATATGTTTATTAATATTCAGGTAATTCAGACGCTCTGAGAGTAAGTCATAAATTGATTGAAATATTAAATGAATGCAAAGTTTAACCAAAAGAAAGAGAGAAAAGAATTGTGATGTGAGAGAGAGAGAGAGAGAGCGAGAGAGAGAGAGAGAGAGAAAGGCCTGAGAATTAGAAAAGTATTTCCATTTCATAATTTGGAAATCTAATACTAATAGCATTTCTTGAAAATAGCCCCAAGGACTCATTTATTACGTTAGAGTCGGCCCTTCTATTCATTGTTCACAAAAGACTATTCATTTAAAATATCTTTCATTAGAGAAGTAATACATGTCTTCTATCTTTACAACGAAATCATAATCATAATGAATAACAACTCGTAAGTCATCTCATGTTAAATGAGAAAATATTGGCCACAAAACTGATTGAAATGTTTGATGCATTAAATACAGTAATAATTCTTTGTTGCAATTCTTTGAACTGAATATTAGTTTACAAACTATTTATATTAACAAATACTCTCTCGTATGATATCATATTCTATAGCATTAAGTAATACTTTTGAGTCTATTTATTGGTTACGATTACACGAAACACAAGTGTAAATATTGATGTAAATGTTGAAAATAAACAGTCGTGATGAATAACTCTACAAAATTGGCGATCAATGGCTAAGTGAACAATAGTGGACAGACAGGCAGTCATAAGTTACGATTGGATTTGCAATTTGCTTGCATTCTGTGAAAGCTTGACATGAGATTTGCCTCCAATAGTGTCACTGTTGCCAACAATCGTAACAATGACTACAATGAGAACTGATCTCTACTATAGTGTACACTTATTCTCGTTATTATCGGTATTATTGGTTCACTTCTCTCTGAGTGTCACATCTCAGTGCCAAACAAGAAATATATACATATATTGCACACAATGGCATGTAATTCACCACTACTTGTCATTGTAGTGACTCTATGCCTCGGTATTAGTAGGACTGCAACGACTTGATTCGGTTCCTATTGATGCCCTACAGCCGAATCAATGGCTATTCAGGTGGTGCACAAAAGCGTGACTCAATAGGTAGGCGTGCAATCCCGGTGCTCAAGTCAAGAACATGTGCTCTCAATTCACACAACTCACAACTTATACCCGAATAATACATTTCTATTGGACTTTGTATAAGAACTTTAGGTAAAGTCGAGAATCGCTGACTTCTTACAAGTCTGTAGAGTTGTGTTGTGTTTATAATTTTTTCTCATTTCTTAAGTTTTGTCGATTTGTTTATGGAATGAGAGAATGGAAAGGACTGCAGAGAGATAGAGAGAGAGAGAGAGAGAGAGAGAGAGAGATGTTTGGAGGGCTGGTGCGGTGGTTTGGCGGTGGAATGATTGAATGTGTTGGTAGTGTTGGTGTTTGTGGTGGAACTAGAGTTGGAAACATTGGAAACATTGGCAATGAAGTTGGACTGTTGGGACGGTAGGGCGGACATGATTAGTGTATTCATTGGCAATCATAGCAATGCGTGATTCGGAGTAATTGGCAATGTTTTCAAAAGAATTTTTCTTTGCAAATGTTGTGTTAATTTTGAATGAGAACTGCTATTGAGACTATGGTTTTGAGTTGAAAAAGTATTTTAAATTGGGTTGTTTTTCTCACCCTCTTAAATATGATTGCGTGACCACTTTGTATGGCTTGTACTCTAAGTCCCTGAGTCTTACAACACCAACAAATGAAAAATTCAATTTGAAGCGATTGTCTCCTAGTCTTTGATAATCATTGCAATGATAGTACACTTATATCCAAACCTATTATAATCAATAGCTATAATAGCTTTGAATTGAGTAATGGCGACAGAGTTCGCATCCCTAACAATATCCATACAATAAAAGCTCACATCTCATGAGAAACTCACTGGTTATTTGCCCGGAGCTCACATACAGCTCCAGTAGACATAAATAAACCTTTGAAACTGTAAAACTTGTGAACTCAGCACGAAATACAAAATTATCAAAAATGAGAACTTCCTCTAATGTAAACCAGATGTTTATGTTTGGAGTTTACATGTCTTCATGTCTTTCACTTCATTACATCCAAACATCTATAGAATCAATCAAATTGTCGTTAATGCCATCAAAAACACCTTCCATTCAATCTATACAGTCCTCCATTCTATACACCCCAACAAATACCCTAGTCACATTTAATTCGAAAGCTCTCTCTCTCTCTCTCTCTCTCTCTCTCTCTCACCGATCATTTCACTGATTTGCAGTTTTTTCTCAATTCTAAAATTTCTTTAAAAACAGGATTTATTTGAATGAAAAAATTAGTTTAAAGTTTGAGTTAAAAACTTTCAAAGTTTATTAATTTGGATGAAATTACATTTTGATATCGAAAATGAAATGTAATTTGGAAACCGGATATTAAGTTACTTGAGGCTCATTTGGTTACATAAGGGGTATAGTTATACTTATGAATGGTATATATGATTGGGTTATTGATATTCAGTTACTCACAGTTAGCATTAAATTATATATTCTTTTAATGGTTTTAGTGGTACAGTAGTTGTTGTATACCTTAACTCAATTGTAATGCTTTTAGTGCACAAAGAAGCTGCCAATTGAACAGCAGTGGCACTGCACTGACAAACAGTACCGTACAGTACACTCACTAAACCAACACTACACTCAAACTCTATGTTGAAACTGAAACTTTACTCGCCTTTTACTACTACTCCAGTCATTTCATTCAATGAATCGCAATACTTTTAGAACAGGAGAGAGAGAGAGGGAGGGAGAGGGAGAGAGAGAAAGAGATAGATAGATAGAGAGGGAGAGAGAGAGAGGGAGAGAGAGAGAGAGCATAACAGCTACAGCATAAGACAGGCCTTGTTTTGTATACATATATCTCGGTTGTATAGCCGGTAATAAACTGACTGTACGTTTCTCCATATATTGTACAGTATTTCCTTGAGTGAGCCGACGGTAAAGGGCCTGAAATGTGTTTACATATATTGGAAAACCGAAACGACATTCTCGTTGTGTAGGGGTTTGCCTAATGAATGGCACTATATGTACACTACGGTATGTGTATGTATGTAATGGGTATGCCATTGACTTAACAATGCATTGGTCTGTTAGGTTAGGTTAGTGTGTATTTTGTGTTCACATTTAAAGCTAACATAAATGAAATGCATTTGATTCATGCATTTGAACGCGATTTTGCAAAAACTCAAAAGAATTGATCCGTTATTGAGGCGGTTGTGCGCCAACAGACAGCCCTCACTATTGAGAGCACTATAAAGTCATCACAAGTCAGTAGGAACTGGAGTTAAGTGAAGTAGCCTTTTGTCAGTCAAAGACTCCAAACACATCAACTGAATAACACTTTTGACCACTTTTTCATTTGTTAAACATATTTATCACTCCTTTTCACTTCACTCTATAAACTGACCGGAAATTATTGGGGGAAAGGCTTGCAATCGACTACAATAACAATACCACTCAACTGTACAGTATATTGTATACAATCTCACAGTTTAATTTTGTACAAGTATAATGAAATTCTGTAGAATTTATGTTTGAGATTGCATTTCATGAATGAATGGATTTTGTTTTTGCTGTAATTGAAATTCAAGACATTTAATACATATCGATGATTGACTGAGAATATGACAACAATTATCAAAATCTAAAGAATGGCAGAAATCATAGATAATTAGTTTTTCCAATGAATTCTATTAGGGTCTCGATTTTTTAGCAGTATTTGTTTGTACAAGTGTTCAAATTTCATGACATGCACAATCCATACACGACTCCCATTACATACTCTTTAACTCTCACTAACAAACTCTCAAACTTCTAAATATAGCCCACAATTCACAACACTTTTCCAGTTAACGCTATTTTCAATGCGAGGCATAAAAAGAAAGTAATCAAACCAATGCCTCCTCAATAGTATAAGGATAGACTATCCTGGATACTATTATAGTCAGTTATATTGTAATTGTCTTTTATTTATCATTCATGTCATTGTTTAATTGAAATAAAGAATCAATTCTTATTGATCAGATTAAATCAGCTGAGAGTCACTCAACAATTTGATATTAACTCAATTATGTATTAATACTATATTATATAAAATCCGATAATAAAACTCAATTTCCGAAAGTATCTGATGTTAGACCTTATTATTTGAAGCGTATGTTCTGTAATACTCACGACTTAGAGGGAGAGAGAGAGAGAGAGAGAGAGAGAGACTGTGGTGACCCTATTGGTCAGGGATGTGATAATTTTAGGTTTGGAGGTAGAGAGAGAGAGAGAGAGAGAGAGAGAGCTAAGAGATGAAGAGAAGAGAAGTATAAAAAGCACTTCCAGTGCACAGAAATGTGTATTGAAGTGAATGGAGTGTATGGAGTGTAGGGAGCGGGCGGTGATCGTAACGTTTAGCAGACTTTTCTGAACCAATCGTAGTGTCGGTGTTGTTATTTCGCAGCCATTGAGTTGTGAGGGAACGACTGTTGGCAAGTTTGGTGAGCACTGGCCCTACAGTTGCATAATGTAAGGCATGCCCTGCGCTCTACCAGATTAAGCATCGCATAAGCCTTACTGTGAGCTAATGTTTCGCTTCTCATCTCCTCATCCGCCGATTCACTGAGTCTTGAGTTGCCATTCAGTCATCGCTTTCTCAACAAAACAACAAATTCTTCGACTTTTAGCGAAAATTCTTAGACTTTTAGCGAAAGAAGTTCTGCTTTTTTGCTCTCATATAAGATGTATAATATGTAGGCATTGCTTGTGATCCTACTGTTGCTGTATTGGCCGCAAGGGTTTTAGATATTCATCAACGGCTGTGAACACCACTGAAACACAAGACAAAACTCAAAGAAATCCACAAAAAAGACATTTCAAGTGAACATTTGTCGTCAATTGTGGGCAAAAGTGTGAGCCGTTTGTAATGACTTTAATGATAGTGTGTTTGTTTGAAAGAACCAAAAGTTAGGACTTCTTCACATCACTGCTTATCTGATCCGTCAAAACGACTTAATGTGTGTCAGCTGTTAGTTGTGATGATTGTCGGGCATATGACAGATGTGTCGGCCATCCAGATCCCAGGGATGACCAGCGGACAGTTGTGTGCTCCCATGAGTACTGGTCTGTCGCCATCGGGATGTCCTAACCCACAGTCACCGGCAATATTACCATCGTTTGGCTTCACTCAGGAACAAGTGGCCTGTGTTTGTGAAGTACTGCAACAGTCGGGAAACATCGAGAGATTGGGCCGATTCTTGTGGTCATTGCCTGCTTGCGAACAGTTGCAGAAGAATGAGTCCGTACTGAAAGCCAAAGCACTGGTAGCCTTTAACAGGTATGTCTGTCCCAAGCAAACTGGCTTTCATTAGATTAGTTGCCGGCCTTGCGGTCGACCCATAACTTGCATTCATTTGCAATGGAAATGAAGGAAACCAAATATTTTCAATCGTTTTGATCTCTGATTTGTGTTTTTATTTATTATTTTCATTATTAATAGCGAAGTCTAATGTCTTGAGATTCATAACTACTATATGAAAGCATTTCAAGCATTGAAAACTTGAAAACCATTGCCTGAATCGTCGCTAGAAATCTTTTGGTCATTAATATGTTGTTTTCAAAATCACGATTTAATTTATTTTTGATTTTCATGCGAATATCTGAACAAAAGAATTCAATAGTTCATTGATTCAATGAATAAGTTTTTTCATCACTTTATACTATATTTAATTCATTTTATATGATATGAAAATATTAATAATTTTTGATCACTTTATTTAATGCGTGACTCTATTCATAGACAGCTTTTAAATGCATTATTTAAAACAAAACCAAATTTGAAATTGTTTATTAAACTAATGTTTTCAGTTATAGAGTCTTTAATCTTATCTTGTGATTGAATATTAATAAGATATGAATAAAGGTTTTGCAAAGAGTTTTAATCAAATTAATGTCTCAATCGATTGATTATTGCACAACGAATTCACATATTTTTTTGATTAAACTTTATTAAAGTTTAGCATTTTGTTGATCCCTTTAATTAGCATCAAATAATTTCTATTTTATTTCAATTTTATCAACGATTCTGTAACTAATAACGAATTGTGTGTCGTTTTGTACACAATTTATGTTTTCTCATTCAATAGCATCGGGTTTGACATCATTTTTAACCTTCAGATTAAAGCAATAAATTTCTTCTCTTTAAATTAAATTGACTTTATTTATGACATTCAATACAAATGTTTTCATTATTTTTTCTTGCGTTTAAATATTTGTGAGAATTTTTCTTCATTTATAAGAAATGAAGCGTTTTATACTATATATTACACATACTTTGCAGAAAAAATATTTTTAATTTCAAGCAAAATATAATTTTTCAAAATAAGACTGCATTTTATTAAAACAACGAATAAATTAAATCATTTTCAAAGCTCATTTTAATTAATTTTTCATTTATTCACTTTTGCTGTTAGGACTATAATTTGATATTTAGTTTAAAAGTGTTAAAAGGAATTCAAAGAATTATTGAGAAGTGTTTGAAATAAATTTACTAAATTTTACTAATAATTAGTCAAATAATAATGTTAATGATAATTTTAGATAAAATTTAATTTGTGTAAAAATTTGTCGATCTCTTAAAAGTTATAGAAAAATAAAACAAATTATTTATCTCAAAGTTTGCGAGCGATTTGTTTCATTAATATTTGACGTAAAAAATAAAATATAGATTAATAGCCAAACATTGATTCGTATTGATTTGCTTATAGAAAGCCAATGATTACAAACATTTCAAACAAGTTTTAAAAGCTTTAATGAATTTATATATAATTTTGTTTAATATCAAACGACATCCATAGCTAATAGTGAATCGGAAATACTATATAAACTTTTGCCACTTATTCAAAAGACTTGTGTGAGAAGTCAACAAAATTGTTGTCAAAATCTGATTAATTGAATGAAAATATTAATAGCATTTCTTAAATGAATAGAATTTATTATATGATTATACAACTATATGCTATAGATTTAAGTGAAAACATTAAGAAAATAAATAAATAGTTAATTAAGATTTTACTATTCATTATTTAAATAATTATTTAAACAAAACAAACATATTATTTATTGTGTTATATGTTAGCATTAGTAGAAATGATTTTAAATGTAAATTAATCTTTATACTCTTTGAATTCAAATTTTTATATCTTATACTATTTCACACAAGTAGTATTTTAACAAAAATTTATTTTCTATTAATATCACTTTAAATTTATTTGAATTACATATCATTTGAATCTAAGAAATAAGGAATTAATATTAAAATTATTTTTAATATGTTTTGCATAATGACATTATAGCAGACATTAAATTATGTGTAGATAATTTTAGTTTGAACATGTCTTTAATCAAATGATAAAATTTTTGAATAAATTAAATAAAGTTATTTTTAAAATACAAATTTTATTTATATATCATGTAATTTATAGCATCAATGATTATCATATATACCGTACACTAGTTATATTTATATCAAAAATTATATAAGAATTATATATGGCTATATAACAGATAATAATTTATGAAATTAATAAAAAATGTCAAACATTACTATAGTATATAATATCTTTTCATAGTGCATATTTTTCATAGTGCTTAAATTGTATATAAGTTATATTAGAGATACAATACTAACAGAATAGTACAATGTCTTTAAATAAATATACTATCTCTTTAAGAAAAATTTTATTTTAAAATATCAAATACTATAAATATTAAATTAAAATTTAATAAATCTTATTTTACAAATATTAAAATTTACCTAATATTAAATTATTATTAATTGATATTTATTCTAAAACATATGTGATCTCAATTCAATTTAAGTTATGAAAACATTTAATATGAACATTTTAGACAAAATAAAGTAAAATATTTAGGATTTTTCTTATAAATAAAAATATATATGATATGACTATTGATTTCATGATTAGAAGAAATTATATAATTTTATTTGAAACCATTATAATTAAAAGCATAATATTTTGACAAATTAGTAAACTGAATAAATGAAACAAATGTCGCCTCAAGACATCATTTAAACAAATTTTTATTAATTAATATTCTTTTTAAACACAATTATTTAAATTATTTAAAAGCATCTCAAATTTCATTACATAACAACTAAACGAATAATTATTTTAAAAGAAAAAAATTAACGAATATTTTTGGAAATGGTGTTACTTTTAGGGGAAATTTCAAAGAGTTGTACAGAATCTTAGAAAGTCATACGTTTAGCGTCTCATCACATCCCAAACTACAGAACCTTTGGCTCAAAGCTCACTATATAGAGGCTGAAAGACTTCGCGGACGGCCGTTAGGTAATACTCATATTGCCGACCATTAGCTTAAATTTTGATCAAAACTAAATTCACCGACAATTTGATGGTGAATGTAGGCGCTGTGGGAAAATACCGGATCCGTCGCAAGTTTCCGTTGCCCCGAACCATTTGGGACGGCGAGGAGACCTCCTATTGCTTTAAAGAGAAGTCCCGAAATGTGTTGCGCGAGTGGTACGCCCACAACCCATACCCCTCTCCCCGGGAAAAGCGAGAACTCGCTGAAGGCACCGGACTTACCACTACCCAAGGTATGCATAAATGCACCTTGTCACTCTTAATGATTTTGAAATAATAATTACATGGTTTACAATTGTTTCGTTTGTTTAGTAAGCAATTGGTTTAAAAATAGGTTCGTATTATGATTGTTACTTAAATATAGTTTGAATTACATTTTGTTTACACTTTATCTCAAATTGTATTATAAATAGGCGACAGAGGGATAGGGCGGCTGAGGCTAAAGATAGGTATGTGTCGAATACATGCACTTCTTATTAGGTTTATGTCTTCAATGTGCACTCATTTACTGAATCATATGAAATGAAACAAATATTATAGAGATCCTAACGATAAGTCCAATTGTGGCACTAGTATTAAATCGGGTGCCAAAGGGCTGAACGACTCGTCCAACTCTGGCAACGATAGCGGCGATGACTCATCCAATGAGGCGACGTCTTTGCGGACGAGCAGTGGTTCCGATCATTTGATTCATAGCATGACATCCCATCCGTCGCACACAAGTCATCAACAAATGAATTCAGTGTCAGTTGTGAGTCAGTCGGCGGCGACGGCCACCCAATCGGCTCTGTATCACGGCTTCCGACTGAACCACCAGCACATCGGCGCCACTCCACTCGCCCACCATTCCCACCACTTGGCAGATGTGGCGCCACAGGCACTAGTCATGCATACCGGGGTCACCTCTGCCGACACAATGCTCCAGTTGAGTGCTGTGGCCGCCGCCTCCGGACTCGACTACGGCTCTACTCTCGCATCACATTCACAACTATAGGACACCAGACATCAGACTACGAGACCACTCGACCCACGAGTCGACAACTGTCTGTCTGACCACACATTCCAACGACACGACTAAACAAACAGTAAATATCATACCATTTAAGATATTATGAGATTGTTTGCTATTTGTTGGACTCAAAGGCAACAGAATCAGTGAAAAGTCATTTACATTGAAATTCATTCAAACATTTATTTATTACAAAATATACCGATAATAAAATCAATCAGTTTTCCAGCACATTGTCAATGACTCAATTTGATCTGTGAATTAATTTTTGGTGATTTTTTGGTGATTAATATCCCTTTTGTGTAATTAAATGATTCGATAATCAAATAATTATGTAAAACAAACTTAAAATTCGAAATATATATAAAATATGAGAAAACTCTGTTTTTGATATTCCTTTTGAAAACTTTGAAATACTTTTATGTTTAAAGAGAGTGTTGTTTAGTAATGAAGCGAATGTGAGATTCTCGAGAGAAATACGGCATAACTTAGTCTTAATTTTAATCTCTATTCAGTTCTATAAATAGCATTTGACGCAAGTTTTCATCTCTGGCTCTCTGTCACTGAATTGTGAATATAATGCGAACCAAACCATAGCTACAAATAACAACATTACTTACTATACTATTATATTTTTCACGTTTATTGAAAATTACAAAACGTCTTGTGTTTGCAATTGAAAATACATAGAAAACAAAATTCATGTCAATATTTTCATTATAAATTACAATAATTTTAAATTGTTTGAAATACAAACAAAATGTATATTGGTCAATTGTTAAGCGTATGATAGCTGACTGACAGAATTGATTGACAAACGATCGGTTGTATGGGATTGGAGTCACACTTTGGCTGAGCCTTGATTTGAAAAACACTGATTATATATAGAGCTACTGGAGCTGCACTTAACACAACCACTAACAGCTCGTAACCTGTAATCAAGGAGGCTTTGAACACAAGACACCCCACAACCCATCGCAATATTATGTTTACTTATGCTCTGACATCTAACATATAATTTAGGCCTACGTTTAGTTTTAATAAGCGACTACTTCTTTGGTGGTCATATCTGCAGCCATTGCGGGCCATCATCTCCCGGCCCTCTGCAGGCGCTGTCGCGTTCCGATCACAACATTCATACATTCGTTCGCAAAATGTTTCTCTTGTTTACCAAATTTCTCCAACTTTTTTGTAAAAAGAGAAAAATTGATTGGATTTTTGTTGCAATGCATAGATTCAAGTATAGAGAGACGGCTAATATTGCAGTGAATTCTTGTATAGTTTGGACTTTGAATACATGAAAAGAAATACATTCATACCGTGAGTTCACCACAATTGAGATGCTTTCAAGAGATAACAAACATAGAAAGTTCTTTCAATGTGTTTTGCATCCAACTGCACATCCATACCATGCCGTATAGCCTCCCAAATCCAGCTGCGAGGCTATGCCATAGCCTAACCATAGCTTTTTTACATTCAGTTTGATTTTCGCCGCAACAAAACTGCGCTACAGTTCCCCAAAGTCTCGAATATCTGTGCATTCGGTGTACATATGCCGCGCTTATTAGGTGAGAGATATTGTAATCCTGTATATAAGATAATTTCACTCACAATCAAAAGATTTCTTCCATTTCCACGTTTAGTATGTTTGAGGCAAACGAGCTCTGCTCTGATGGTTATCACAGATACTCTCAACTGCTTTAGCTTTGGTTCTCCACATTTTCACAGCTTTCTCTCTCTCTCTCTCTCCCTCTCAATGCTGTCTTAAATATTCTTCAGATCCATATGCCTACAGGTGCCCATACGGGCGCAGTATATCAGGGGTACGGTAGTTGTGTTATGGCATGAGTTTTGAGTTTATTTCTATGCTTTTAATGTTGTTTATAATCTGTGGATACTCTCTCCCTCTCTCTCTCTCTCTCTCTCTCTCTCCCATTCTTTGATGCAAAAGTACAGATAATGAATTTGTAGGCATTTATATTTAAAGCTATGGCTTTTGGGTGAACTCCGGGGCAAAGGAGCACCCGTTTATGAGAAACAGCTGTAAGTGTCCAGACAGTCAGTGCACAAAAAAACAGTTAACAGAATGTGAAATCATAATCAATATAAAATTCCGAGACTTAAGACTTGAATTCTTAATTATTAGATAAAGAAATGCAAAAATGATTTATTTAAAGATATTTGGATGAAATCTAAGCTTTAAATTATCGATGAATTATGGATCTGAAGAATATTTAAGACAGCATTGAGAGGGAAATGCAATCATTATAATTACAGTCAGAGCTATCAGTAGTAATATTTTGAAATATTTTATTTAAATATCGTTCAAATTCAAATATTTATTTGCCTAAATCAATATTAATTAATTATTATTGTCCAAATATTACCTGGAGCATATATTAAATTACTAATATTTTGCATTGTATACTAAATACGATGAAATATTATTAATGGTATGAATAAAGAATATATTTTTGCTGCGATTGTAGTTAAAGTATAAGTAATGTCTGTAATGTAATGTGTATTTGCAATGCATTAGTCTTTTTGGCTCTTTTCTAACTTTAGTTGAACTGAAAGTGTGTTTCATGTCTTGCGTTCCCTTTCTCTGCAATGCTATCCCTTCTGGGATTACAGACGCAACTCAACCAATACATGGATGAAACCCAACACCAGAGCATCCGTTTGCACTCCACTCACACAAAGTCTTTCAAACTCTCTCTCAATTCACAGCAAATTCTGAGCCCATATTTACATACATGTGAAGGCTATCCCTATTCCTTAGTATCATATCTTTGTGAACAGATCTCGGCTCACATTTTTGGCAAACATCTCATGACAACAGATGAGACACACAGTGGAGAGATTCACAAACCATACTAACCATCCCATCACATCCTTAGGATTAAACTAATTTTTATTTCAATTAAATTTATTTTATTTTATGTAAATATTTTCTAGTAAATTAAATAAAATTATTTTTTAAAACCTAACTAGTGTTTAATTTTTTGGTTGTTGAAAAATTCTATAAATATTAGAATCACATATATTCAATTATATTCAATATAATTAATTTTGAGTATATTTTGTAATAAACTCGCAAAACCAATACAATAATTGCTTGAAACAAATAAGATTATTCAATATAATTGAAAAATTCTTCATAAACAAACAGTAATATATAGTATTTTAATTTAAACATTTAATAGTTAAGATTATTATTACCATTAAAGTTAAATCTTGAAATAAAAATTACTTTGCAAATATTTTAAATAAAACTTTTATTTTTATCATTTACTTTTTCAACCAGAATAAACATTTGTAATTACACAAATATGAAATAATCTTATGAATTTATAAATAATACAAAATTTACAATTAAAAACATTATAGGTATATAAGAGGAATATTTTAAGAATGCTATTCAAAGTTTAATATTATATTTTACATAAAGAATATACAATATAATATGATATTATGAATATGTTTAATTATTATTTATGTTGGTTCATGTGTATTCTTTTGTGTGTTTTAATATAAATGAGGTCCAAATTAGTGTAGAATTTGAAATAAGCAATTGTTTTGACATTTAATTTGATTTGATTGAAATGATATCAAATGAGATGCAATTGATGTAATGATTAGAGAGGATGTTATTCCTATAAAATCTTATCAGTTCCTTAGGAAGTGATTGTCAGTAATGAATAGAAAGAAGATTATGTCAACACAAGTAGTTTCTGTACTCACCCTAACCTCAACATTTAAGTATGGATAAGTGATAGCATATTAACCATTAATAATTGTCACACTTCTAACAGGTCTGGCGTTTAGTGTATGAATGCATTTAAAACAAATTAATTAAAATTATATTTGCAATGAATCTAAAGGTTAATCACAAACTTGTGTTTGAGTTTGAGGTTAAATAACGTATTGAATGGTATGTTTGATTCAAAGATCTGAGTTTTAAATCATTATTAATGGTTTTGAAGTGTGTTTCGACTTTTTTACGAATGGAAAAACTAATCTCTGTTTCACACAAAATACAAGAACCGATTCATTGATCAAAATTGAGTTCTTTTACACTTAATTATACTTTTATGCAAAACTCGAAACATATTTACACTTAAATTCAAAAAGATTTCATTTTGAATAATAATAATTACATTTTGTGATTCATTAATACATATATTTATAAAAAAGTTGAAATTTAAAGAAGAAAATTGCAATTTTAATGATTAAACATTGAGTTTGAAAGCTGTCGGAGGGGTAAGAGGTGTAAGTTATTTAAGTTGAGCTTTAGTACCGGTGCGTGTAAATAGTGTTTTATGAGGTAAATATTTGAGAGAATTGATTAACATTTATAGCATTTATAGCTTACATGAGAGCAATGAATATAAAAGAGAGAGAGAAAGAAGAGAAAGAAAACTAATTTATAAAACGGGTGGCATTTCATGTAATAAGCGATGTATTACTAATGAGAGAGTCTTTATCTCGAGAGTTATCCAACAAATTAGACGCATTGCAGAGTTGCTTAACAAACGTTTTAGTATCTGTTGGGGTGGAGATTGAAGTTGAAGTGCAACTGTAAATGAATGAAACAACGATACATGCATTCAATACATTATACACTGAGACTGTATTTATGAGATGCCTTCAGAAGCGCAAAGGTGTCCAACAGCGGCGGCCAACAGCTAAACACAAAAACTCGTTTACAACTTGTATTGCAAATCTTGTTTTCTGTCACGTCTCGTGATTTATTAAGTCTCAAAATTGTAATCGAATAGCTCTGTACCTATAGCTCAGGCCACTCGACCAGCCCTACCACTACCACCACTACAGTACCATCATCTACGAGCGCACTCTTATGAGTCTGAATACTGCTGTGAGTCGGGTGTACCTCCTATTAAACACAACCATTTATAACGAGAAAATTTCAAACCACAAAAAACATAGAATTTTTAAATTTTCATTTTTTCTTTCTTTTTCTCTTCTGAAGACTCATCCCTCTTCAGACGCACGGCTCAGGTATACTATCACTGTCTGTACGCTATTTGTTATAATGTTTCCAGTTTTCCATTCATTATATTTTTGAAACTTAAGACTATATACAGAAGTTTTTTAAACAAAATGTTATTCTAATCATTAGTGCTATTATTCTTTGAATATTTATGCGAAATATGATTTACATGTACATTGAGATAGATATAGTGCTTATAGTGCTTGTATTCATTAACTAATTTGGTGCTAAATTTAGATAATATTCATGACATTCAT